TCAAAAGAAACTACAATATGAAATTTCTGTGAGTACATATCTCGTTACTGTTTTAATGCTTTTTAACTATCAAACTAATCATAGGTCCCACTCTACATTATACTCTACAAAACGATTTCTATTAGTTTGGATTGATTCATTGGAATAATATAAAATATTTTTGACATTTCTATTAGTTGTTATTTTTTATTGTGGGGAAATTATGGATGTTTAATTTATAGATTTTATCTGCCACGCGTTAGGCTAGTTTCGCGTCCCGGCCCTCATCAAAATTTACTATTTGCTATTTTTCAAAAAAACGTTCATTTTTCCATTGACTATAAAAATAATGAATATCTGAAAGAATGATGTCAAACCTAATAAGAAGAGGTGGGAACATAAATGGCAAAAATACATTATAAAGATTCATTTTTTACTTCTTTTATAAAAAAAAAACTATTTTTACTATTTACCAGCCTATTTACTGTTAGTATCTCGATGATAGAAAACAGCAGATAGTAAATACCCTCACCGGAAATTTACTATTTGCTATTTTTAAAAAAACATTCATTTTTCCATTGACAATAAAAATAATGAATATCTGAAAGAATGATGTCAAACCTAATAAGAAGAGGTGGGAACATAAATGGCAACAATACATTATAAAGATTAATTTTTTACTTCTTTTATAAAAAAAACTATTTTTACTATTTACCAGCCTATTTACTGTTAGTATCTCGATGATAGTAAACAGCAGATAGTAAATACCCTCACCGAAAATAATTTTAAACCCTGGATGTAAAACAAACAGTTCATTTTATTTGGCCTTATATTACAGGCCTAATGTAATATATTTACTCTATTTGTTTAATAATTATTTTTTTAATGTTTTATTACTAAATTTTAGTTAGAAATGAAATACTGCAGTGTAGACCTACAGTAATTTAGGTGTGATGTACTGAAAATAAATTGATGCTGGTATTTGGTAAATATCTTACTTGTGTTTGCCTGTAAAGTATGTTTTTTAACTTTTTATATTATATTGTGAAGAGTGGGTGTATAAAAAATGAAACAAAATCATTTAGAACACTGTGGTAAAGGCCAAAGTACATCAAGTAAGCATACAGTAGAAGAAACCCATCACTGAGGAACCCCTACTAAGGGGGCACGCCTACCAGTACACATGTTTTGTCTACTACAGCCAACCTCCCCCACCCCCTATTCAGGGGCATCCCTATTAAGAACACACATATTTTTCACTTAGAGTATATTCCACCACAGTAAATTTAGCCATCCTAATGGCTGAAATATCAATATTGTATAGTATATAATTAAACTATTTAATAACAAAATATTGTATAGTATATAATTAAACTATTTAATAACAATGAATCATATCTATATCAATAATGAACTAATTGGCTCTCACAACAATGCTAGTAAAAGAGGCAATTTATCATTCATATCAAAACAATACACAAGTAATGGGGTTTTTTCATAAAAAATAAGGAATAAAATTAAAATTATAATTCAATTTTTTTAAATGTAGTGTTTACTATCCATATATTATTTCTTATATATAAATTTGTGCATAAGGCTCTTAATAAAATGTAAGTCAATATATTTTGCTTTGTGTTGCAGAATTACCTTGCTCTTAATTATTCCGAAAGGAAATTCTCAAAGGCTTGGTAAATATAGCACCTCGGCATTTGCTTGTTCCGTACAAAGCAAACATTGCCGACACTGATGGCTGAAGCAACAAAGAAGCGCTCTAAGGTATAGCACCTCCCTGGTCTAACAGCTCAGCAAACTTTCACAGCTTTTTATATTACAACCATAATAAATTATCAGTACAGTAAGAGTATATTTTATATTTTAAAAATTATGCTAGGTTGTCGAAGATTGTCCAAAACAAACATATACCATATAGCTTATAGCCTATAACTGGAGTAATTTTTTTTTTATTTATTAATAATCGTTTACTAAAACTGGGTTTCAGTACATTTATACAGAACATTAATTATTTTTACAATGTTATAATTAAATAATATTTGTGAGGATTGAAACTGTGTATCAGCAAGGCTTATTGGCTCCAAAAGAGGAGAAGGGTAGATTTTGATTCTTAAGCTGAATTGGTTCATCTGCATTTATTCTCTTCTTCTAGAAATTAAATGGGAAATGGGTCTATGGCATTGGTAGGATAGTGAAGTTCTTAGTTTATGCATACAGATATTGTAAAACCTTGAATTGAAGCCCCTCTTGAATTGATGCCCCTCTTTAGTTTTCAAAATTAACCTCGAAAAAAGGCCATCTCGAAATGAAGCCCATGGGCTTCTTTTCAAGATAGCATAGGCTTCTTTTCGAGATAGTACAGTACATACACTGCACGTGAATTTCAAAAACAAAGTAAATTAAAAACAAGCTTGGTTTATCAGTACTGTAGTTTAGGTGATTTAATGCCAGTTAAATCTACTCCATGATACAAATTTATGCTACAGTGGCCTTTATTGTTTTATAGGTTAAATTCACAAAATTTACAGCATTCATTTTGAAAAGAAGCCCCCCACCCCTCTTTACTTTGCAAAAATAGCCTCGAAAAGAAGCCCATCTTGAAAAGAAGCCTATCTCGAAAAGAGCCCATCCAAAGTTCGCAATAAAAAGAAGCGCAGGGCTTCAATTCAAGGTTTTACAGTATGGCAAGATGAATAAAAAAAGTACTTGAACCATGACTGGGTGTATTCCCTAGAAAGTGAAGGTGGTCACAAATTGTGCATACCTCTCTGTATTCTTAAATATACGCTAATATTACATATACAGGCCTACTATAGCATTCATAGTGACAGTGGACTTAAAAGTTTGCCATTACAGGTATACTGTACCATCAGTTGGCCATTATCCCTACAATTGGTACTTACATTGCTGAACATCGTGCATACTGATGATAACCAGTGACTAAACAGGAGTTAAACACCTTCTTCTAATAATATGAGTACATTCTTACAGCAAGTGCTGTACTTTCCTCGATTGCAAGTGGATACAGAGTAGTACTTAAGTTAAAGTGGTTCAACACGTTCCCTTTGTGGAGGCTTCTTGAGCACACCCCATCTCTTATTACTAGTGGCTCAGCTGCTTAGAGTTGGTTCTTCCTACTCACTGCTAGTGGTGGATACCTGGATGATGGTTGAGACCTCCCATTTTAGAAACTTACATTGGTTGAACACCTCCTTCGTTTTGCTGTGGATGCTTAAACGGCGGTTGAGCACCTCCCTCTAGAGTCATATTCCTAATGCAGAACTTTTCAGTGGCATAAATGGGGAAGCTGATGGGGGCGGGAGTGCATGAAGGTGAAGTGGCTAAATGATTAAGGAAGGGACACTAGCTGCAAAATTACATGATATTAGGTGATCTTTCCAGTGAAGCTTGTGAAAGCTTTATTTTAGGGGGAGGGGAGGGAAGGATTGCACCCTAGATATGCCAGTGGTGCTTGCACTTATTTCTTACTTTTATTTGAAAATTACAGTAGTTGAGCACCCTCCCTCCTATTGCTAAATGATGCTTACACTGATTTAAGACAGCTCAGTTAATTTGTTATTTTCTGTAATTAAAAGGAAATATTAAATAGGCAATCTACTGTAGACCAGTATTTGGGTATTACAGTTGCCATAGTTAATTGAAAGATCAAAGCTGCGAAAAAAACTCCAACCCGCTGGGGATCGTAGTGTACACCAGGTGGCCCATTTTTGTATACCTCCTCCCCCCAATGGTAATTCTGGATACAATCCTGTAGTGACCTACATATTCCTATCCTATCTGGCGGACAAAAGGTCTGTTAAAATAATGGTTAAAAATTAAATAATAATTGCTCAATTCAAAGAATCAAATTTCATAAAGTGACAGAATAAGTCAATGATATACAGATGTTTTTCACAGTACATTGAACATAATTACATACAGTACAACCCCTCCTTTGGGACACAGCTATTCAGAGGACACCCCTAATAAGGGGACATCTCTGTAAGTTAAGGGGACAATTTTTCAGGGAATAAACGAGGAAAAGTAGCCTATATCTTTTAACACTATGGCCAACCTCATTCAGGGGACACCCCTATTAAGGGTACACTGAAGGTGTTCCTTTAATAGGGGTTCTACTGTAATAGGTTGCATCATGGAGGTATACAATTTTCAAAAAATTTATACATCCATGGTTGTGTCAAGTGGCAGACATTTTGTAACCTGAATAGGCTCCGCTGCGGACATTTTGTAACCAAGGAATTGTTATGGAAAAATGTGGTTAATTTCATCATTATTGGAGGCATATGCCTAGTGATAGTGGTTTAGGCTGCTTTCCAGAAAACTAGTTTCTATTTTATTTCCAGAAGTTTTTTTCTTTGTAGGCTACTTTGTATGTTTTATCAGGTAGTTGTAGTTATTAAACTCACTGGTTTCATGAAATGATTAAATATTTCAAGAAAAAAAGAGATTAGTCTTGCTAGTGATAGCAGTAATATTACTTAGTATATACTATATTAGGTCTACTTGCAGAGTGCATTTCCTTAGATCATTCCATATCTTATTTATAATTATAACTGAAATTTCGGCTTGGGCCATGTGGTATTGTTTTTTTTTTGTTTTTTTTTCCTTTTACTAATTGGACTGAATTCAAAAAATAAGCGGGCCAGTCAACACTGTGTCTCGATCGTCAACACAAATAAGCATTTACTCAACCTTTACGGGAATCACGTCAATTATTAACTATTTTAACAATACTGTACTACGAGACCTTGAAATAAAGAGAATCAAGTATCATGGAAATATCGCAAAACTGCAATCAAGAATAAATGTTTTGTCACCTTCTCTCGATTCATAAGATCAAGATAGAAGCACGATTCACGTACAATATTTTCAACTGACAACAGACGCTAGTAAGCGAAGATGTGGCCCTTATCTTCTCTTGCGGAAGCCAGAGATTTCTCGCATCACAAATTCTATTTAAAACACTTAAAAGGGCTATAAATCCTTACCTTCATTACATAGTATCGATAATAATTCCAATTACGGTTCACTTGTCATATGCCGCGTAAACTACACTGATTTATCTAAATTTCCCTCCTTAATTGGTGGTCTTGTAGCCTACGTCTTACCTTGCAGTGCTGTCTGTTAACGCATCATCCCGAACAACTCCAGTGGAGCTTGGTATGGTTTAAAGGTCAAATAAAAAGTTCATTTTGAGTTCACGATTTGTTTGACTCGATAAAGTAAAACCTCTCACTTATTACACCAACATTACTCAGTAACCCACCCTCTCTGACTTTAAGTAAGTTATATGAAAGGAAGCAAATCTAATTAATAGCCCTAATCATAATGCCTCATTAAAACATTTATATTGTCGATTTCAGAACTGATAAAGTTATAAAAGTAAATTTTCTTTTTAGATTTAACTTATGATAGTAGGCTTTGCAGAGAAGATAAACAAAAAAACAAAAAAACAAAACAAAAAAAACGATGCCATTACATCAAACAAATTAACAAATGTTCCATGGGAATTGCTAAATTAGACTGGGCTGTAACTTTAAATGTTCACTCATTTTTTTTTCAATATTAGGCCTAAGTTTTTTTTTCTCTCAAAACTTATATAGGCCTATCAATCCCACTGCACTCATTCATTGCAATCGTCATAAAATGTTTCCATCACTGTCGTATTTATTAATGAATAATTGGTTTACTGTTATAACGGATACAACGATTTCTTGCTTCAAACACAAGAAGAAACAAAAACTATTAAATCGAAGTAAACCAACAAAAATAAAAATTTCATATACAAAAAAAAATGGCCTTATGACATGGAGGCATTTTCATTGTCAGTAATTCGCCATAAAACTTTCTTCTATGCCTTTAGCAAGTGATTTACAGAAATTGTCATTAGGTCTAATGATGATTCTGCAAAGTAACTGATTTTTCATAGAAGAAATGATGTTTATTGCCAAGAGTGAACATGTTCTTTTAAAGAAGCAAATCGATCCTAGGCATTTTTGAAGATTAGGCCCCGAAGACTCAAGGTAAATTTCAACTATAATGATGATATTGAACTTGGTATGGAGAAACAAACAAACATCCATCATGATAATATCATAATTTATTTCTACTTTTATTTTGAAAAGAAAAAAAATAACTACCGTATCTCATACAAAAAGAGTGAAAGGTGGAAGAGCAAACGTATGTTATATTAAATTTTGGTCATTTTTCCGCAATCTATTCATGAAGTTGAATACCTTATAGCAAGAAATCGCCAACACCTTCGGTGTTAACGCCAGGCTCAAACATTGATATCTGTCTCTTATACACATCTAGATGTGTATAAGAGACAGCTATCTGAAGGGTAATTGGAAGGTCTTTAATATACAGTATATCATATCATATCAAAATTATATAGAGTGTTCCTTAATGTAGACAAAACGTGTGGAACATCCAAGGGGGTACCCATTTAAATGTTAAAATGCCTCATAAGTATACAGAGTAGGCCGAGTGGTAATCATCCTGAAGCTAAATGGGAAAGAAAGCAAAACTTAATGATTTCTTATGAAAAACAAATAGCATTTGGACGTACTTCAATAGACCATTTTTCTCATTCTTGTATGAAGAGGAAGTAGTAAGGCCTATTATTCGAATGGAACTTAAATTTGCCTCTCGTCAAAATAAACAAAATAAAAAGTGAAATAAAACAAAATAAATATATGAATAATTGAGGAGCACCTTTTAAAAATAAGATCTCTCTCATGTTAATGCTTGGCAATGTTTTCAGTCAATGACGGCCATATGTTTTCTATGAATGAAAACGGCTAGGAAGACAAGTAACAAGTAAGTAATTTAGTATAGGACTAGGCTTAGGCCTACTATATAAAGGGTAGGCCTATGGTTCATAAACCGCATATATAATTACGGTAATGAATAATCGGTTATTTATATGCATTTAATAAAGTTCTGTTCAGGGAGATTTTTAAATTTGTTTTCAATGGAACGAATGAAGAATTGCCGTTATCTTATCTTTATAAAGTATTCAAGCCAATCCAATCCAATCTTCGACTTATAAGGCGCATTATACGAAGTCTCCATGCGCTATTTTAAGGGAGTGCTCAGGAAAAAAGGAACAAAGGTAGAAGAGTATACAGAAGAAAAAGACAGAAGGAAAACACCAAATGAAGCGGAAAAGGTGACATTTAAATCTCCTTTTAAAAATATCCACAGATGGAGATTGACAAACAGATTGCGGCAAATCATTCCAAAGTCTAGGAGCAGCAAATAAATAAGCTTTATCACCAAATGTCTTCGTGCGGCTAGAAGGAACAGTAAGAATGGATGTAGAATACAAACGGAATAAGAAACACGATAAGGACGTAATTTTCATTTATTTAATCTGATTTAATTTTGTAATTCCGATTACGTCATCAAAGTAAATTTTAATGTAGACGGAAAAAACACCACATCTACATGGTGCCATGATTTCAAAAGGGTCAATTCTTTTCAAAATTAGTGCATCACTATAATATATAGGTCTATATAAAAAAAGTTAATTTGTAAATTGTTGATGCTGAGAAGTGACGTCAAATATAATTTTTTACACATTTGCAAAATCTTATGGAAGAAAAACAAAGAAACCTACATATATTATAGCAAGAAATCGCCAACACCTTCGGTGTTAACGCCAGGCTCAAACATTGATATTTTGTGAATCTGTAAGTTCTAAAAATAAGACACGAAAAGAGTGTTTCACGAAAAACTCGAGAACGGTTAGGGCCTAATAAGATAGATTTTTTAAATATTAAAAACTGGGGGAAAAGGTGGAAAGAATAGGCGGTTAGTCCCCTTCCCTCCCTCGGTTTTTAAATATTGAAAAATATGTATCTCATTAATGAACCGTTCCCGAGTTTTCGTCAAATACCTTTGTTGTATCTTAGAAAAATCAGTTGTACACCACATCAAAACATTCTTCCTTCAAAACCTGTCTTTAAGGCAAATAACTGCATTCAGTTTCAAGACTCAACTGAAATCACATCTGTCAATTTCTCTGTTTTCTTGCTTTCTTACTTCTTAAATGTACGATTAAGTTACATCTCAGGGGCAGATACAGTACAGGGCAGCCCCTCCCGTTTTTCCTCTAAATTTTAAAATTTCAATGCATATATTGAAATTAGTGCTACTAACTTACTTATTCTGAATATGTTGTGCCACCTCCAGGCCCCCGTTTGAAAAATTCTGGATCTGCCTCTGCACATGGATAATACTGTTCTTGCCGACCAAGTAGATCAAAGTGCTGGGGAACGGTGCAGTGACACCTAATTTGTTTATGGTTTATTTTTCTTTCTTTCTTAAGTTTAAGAACTTTGAGTCTATTTTTATTTGTCTATAATGCGATATATAATTCGATCCACTACCAAAAAAAAATTGCAGCCTGTTACTCTCAAGAACTTGTGTAATAGTTTGTACAATAATCCCAAAGATTTATATTTTTTCTTTTTTTTCTCTCACAAATGAAGAACTTATTATTATCTGAGAATTATTATAGAAAACTTTGTGGACAATTGATAATCATATTTTGCTACTTCTGTCCTGGCTTTTCTTTCGTGTTAACTTTCACTTGCAGTTCTGTCATCTGATATCATATCCATGTCCCTCATCATTAAATTTATATGATTTTGCCTAAATGTATCAGTGTAATAAAATTGGAGACATTCTTTATAAAACGCATATAACAATTTATTTGTCCAATCATAATCCTAAAACATCTGTTGCTTGTATTTTTGCAATTTTTGGTACACTTAACACCACTATATAAGCAAATGCATCAAAATACAGTTCTACGGTCAAACTTGCCTCATACTCTTTTAAACAAACTAATTTACAGTAGTCAAGCAAAGAAGCTTGTAAAATATCTATGTATGTACTATGCCTATGTATAAATTGGTAAAAATATAAAGATATATATACAATAGTCTATTTTAATTATGCACTTAAATAACATGAGATTCATACTTGTTTTGAGAGGAGTGCGCCCTCTTTCTGTAAATTATGTGACAGTTCTTTTGTAGGCTTTTAGCACTGTCAACCGAAACATAGAATATACAGTAAACACACCAACACAATGACATATAACTTAGAAAATGAGAAATATAAACATATATATGGGAAATAGAAGAATTTGTATTCCATTACAATATGACTTTGGCACAATATTAACAGCAACGCACACACACACACTTGATAACGGCAACTTATAATAGCAAAGATATGGAATGTATATTATGTGTCTCAACATACTACTACATAGTCCAAGTTTAGTTTTTATCAATATATTTTTTAATAGAATTATTCATACTTACATGAAAGCTATAAGAATTACTTATTATACACATATATACATATTGTGCATAGAAACATTAGAATACTATTAAGCAGCTTAATTTGTCCAATATACAGTACTTTGTGTTCAATATCGATTTTGTATTTTTTTTATCTTCATTTTCATAACGCTTGATATCTTTGGCAAAATTTAATTGTATTGTATTGTTGTTCATCGCCAATATAACTATTAACATCATCATCATCACCATCATAATTAGAAAACAATCAAGATTATCAATATCATCATCACCTGCATTCATCATCATCATCATCACCTTCATAATAAGAAAACCACTACTATTGCCATTTCTCATCGGCAACAATCGGGACTATTATCATCGTCATCACCACCTGCATTCTTCAAAATCAACACTCATCATTAACAGAAGGAAAAATGCATAGAAAGAACTCATAGATCTCTCTCTCCGTACTGACAAACTTCTGCTTGTTGAGCCTAGGTCTACAAGTTTATGAGGTGCTAAATCATTTGCGGTTGCAGCTCTTAAGCCTTTGAAATAAATTGTCACTTAATAGTTTTGTCTTGCTTGCAAACTTAATTTGTTGAGTTAAATATCGCCAATACTTGAGCACCTCTGAGTTTGAATAGGCCGGCCCCGGTGCCTCAAATTGCCTGTAGATGTGTATGGTGTGTATTTTTTTCCAGTAGCTTTGGTTCCTTCCTTCTGTAGCGCTTTGAGTAGTGCTGCAGTGGATACGTATGCTTTATAAATCTCATTATTATTATTAAAGACATTATTTAATAATACTAGAGTTTGACTTATAGAGCACATATTATGGAGACCATAAACAAAAGTAATACTTAATCAACCCTAAAGACATTCATAATAACCAGTCATACTCATGCATGGGAGATCTTATGTTTGCCCACTTACCCATGGATTGGAGGGTGGGGTTTAGATGTTAAAAACACGTCCCAACCACGCATTAAGGAGTGGGTTTAAAGGTTTTAACACCTCTCTTAAATAAACTGGAGGTGCATAAAATTTGAACACAATCTCGTGTATAAAAAATGAAAGGGGTTTGAATGAAACCTCAATGGCTTAGCTTGAACCCGTTTAGCAAAGCCTATTTTCCAGCGCTTCAATGGTTTAATTCGGACTGTCTATGCGTAGATCGTCTAGATGATGGTAAACTTTTTCCAGGGTATTAATGGCCTAGCTTAGACCTCTGCTTAGCAGAGCCTACTCGTGATGAGGGTCGATGGTTTTCCTGCAGTCGTACCTGCTTCTTCACCTGTCTCGTTGGCTTGGGACTATAAGATTTATATTTGCTTGTTTTCAATTGATCTGATGCAACAGTGACAGATGCAAATCACTGTCTTATCATTTGATTGATTGACTGACTGGGAGATTTACTTTTTTATTGAATGACTGATTCAACTTAGTACCTCGAAAGTTAAAATTCAAAAATGAACTTCTACTCTATAAAATATTTGATACTTCAAATTATAAAGATATGGACATATTCAACAACAAAAAATGTTCAATGAGAGGATACTACAACCATTCTATCACATTAAATCATAATTATAAATAAATTTTAAATAAATCAAATCAAATCTTTCTTTATTCTGAAAATACTCTTTCAATACATAAGTACTGGTCTCCCAAGAGCTCATTATGTATATTGTTCTTTTTCCTTGTATATTGTTATTTTTCCTTGTATATTTTTCTATTTCCTTGTATATTGTTCTTTTTCCTTGTATATTGTTATTTTTCCTTGTATATTGTTATTTTTCCTTGTATATTATTATTTTTCCTTGTATATTTTTCTATTTCCGTGTATATTGTTCTTTTTCCTTGTATATTGTTATTTTTCCTTGTATATTGTTGTTTTCCTTGTATGTAAGTGTCTGATCTCTCAAAAAAACAGTCAGTGAATATAAGATTGAATGAAGCATTGTGAAGCCTATGGAGTTGAGTGATTTTGTCATGAGAAAAAACCATGGTATTACATAGGATTGGAACCCTGGACCATGGTTTTGCAAGAGGTAAGCATCTTAACCAGTAAGCTATAATGCTGAATAATGTGGACACCACGATCGTACCTGAAAGTATACTTGATGCTCTTTCGTCTCCATTAAGGCGAACCTGTTCATCTTCGATGGCGGTAACATAATGCGAGTATTTCCATTCCACTTTCTCAATACTATCATCAAAGTCGTCTTCAAAAAACTCTGTCAAACTCTTTGATGTTTGCGTGGCAGAGGCATTGCTGTTACGATCATCTTCATATTCAGATACATAACCCTTTCTTGCAAACTCCTGATAAATAAGAAAGAATGAGAAAATTATTTTGAAACACTCCAAGACAGTAGAAAATATTGTACAATACTAACTACACAGGTAAAGTTAAAAAATAAATAAAATAAAGAGTGTAGGTTACCTTTCATAGTTATGGTTTAGTTTCTGTTAGTTTCTGGTTGGGTTTCTTGGAGTTTACATGTAAAAGTGTTGTTTTTTAGTTTGCTGTATTTCATTTAAATGGACATGACAGCAGACAAGCATAAAACAGAAGGACAACAAAAACTGAATGATGAGATAGAACTAGGAACTAAAATTGGGAAAGAAAATGCTAGAGATGGGGGATATAGATAAACATTGGAGGAAGCATTGGATCAACAAAGCAAGAGACACTGGCACTAAAATTCTGAGGATTTCGTCCAGCATTAAACTGATATGGATAATGATGAAGATGATGATGTAGATGATGATGATGGTGATAATGATGACAGTGATGTTGCTCTAGATAGTGATGATGATGGTAATTATAATTATGATTATGATATGTATCTGTTTTGTTTTGTGAAATAAAATATACTTTGATATTTGATATTTCACTACCTTATCTTGTTGGATCCTCTTTTTCTCCATTTCCTTCTTCAACTGCCTTTTCTTCTTCTTTTCCAGTTCATACAAAAGTTTCTCTTCAGCAACAGTGTTTTTGTATTTCAGGAACTCATTCCAATGAGGATACAAAACCCGAAACACTGTCAGCTATATGTAAAATAAGAAGTAATGAGATGAGAAAATAACATAATTTATAATAATTGTATTCAAAGACAAACATTGTGATTTCAATAAATTAAATATAGCATAGGTTTAAGTACACAGTTACATCATCAAATCATCACATCTTTATTTCAGCAGTTAAAGCCATATAAAATACAAAAAGGAAATGCAGGAAATAGAATAAAGCACAATTTAAATTCAAAGAATACACTAAACCCTGGGAAGTGTCATCCATTTTGATTGAAGCCCGGATTCTCTCCGAGACAGTATTGTTAGTTAAACAGTTTTAACTAACTTGTTTGTACTTTTTTCCAATCTACACATAAAATTATGGATGAATATACAGTTAGGCACACACTTTCCATCTATGCCAGTTCAAATGAAACATACTTTGCTTTATTATTGTCTGCGATCGAATGTGCAGCCTCTACTACATGTACGGTGTGAACAATGAATATGAGTTTGTGAAAGCCATATATGTATGTATTCATTTCACTGAGCCTTATCAAGGAATCCATATAAGCATTTAACTGAGCATCACAGCATGTATTTGAAAATTTAACTGAGCAAACATGGATAGCATCTAAACATTCATCTGAGTGTCACTGAATGCATCTGAGCATTGATTGAGGCTCACAAAATGCATGAAAATTTACCTGAGTTTCACGGAAAACATATGGTCCCATCTCTCTCGGTCGTTTCTCCAGCAGTCTCTCCGCTTGTTCCGGAGTGATATCAATCTGGAGTGAGGGCGGCATCTCAGAATCTATGAAGCATGCTAAGATTGTCTGGAACTTTTGGTGAATTAATGATTCCTCTGTATGGTTGTGGTACATCTCCTGATGAAACAAAAATACAGAAATTATTTTTTGAACAAAATAGCAATGCTTCACATGAAAAAGGAAATTTCAGAAACTATGCAATAATAAAAAAGATGAAACCTTTTATATTCCTTATAAGCTCAGCAGCATAACATTTAATTAATTATGAAAATTTGGTATACAATAGGTTACCTGGGGAGGCCAGAGAGTTACATAATTGTCATGACTAGTGGTTAATAATTAGCCTCCCCTTAACTATACTTAATCTATAGACATATAGCAAATAGAGAAAAAATAAATAAAATGCAAACAAGACAGTAAAGGGTTTAACTTTTAAAGTATTCAATTAAATTTTGTTTGAATGTCAGTATAGTTCAGTGCAAATCACCATTTTTTTATTTTTATATCACGTTCGCCTGTGTGGATTGTCCATAACAATAACACGCAGATTTATAACTGAAATAAAGCTACTGCTAGTATAAATGAACACAATTTAAAATGTGAGAAAATAAGACTTTGATGAACATAAAAGCCCATAAAAAGGTATTATTTGGAAGATTAGCCCAACATTTGGCTCCGTTTTTAGCCAGCTAGATACCATAAAGAGCAGCAAAAAGTAGGAATTCCGACAGTGGAACAAGGAAGTTGCTTTATACACCCAACATACGAAAAACTTCCAAAAATCTCCTCAAACTTGGGGAGGTTGTCTCATACGCGGATCGCTAAAATATACGGTATGCAAATAAGCTTGGGTTAAATCAGTTTAATACGCTAATGTATAAAATACTTGCTTTGAACTTCTGTACTTCCAGCCAGAATAAGATGTCATTCTCCAAGTTATCACCGCGCACTGACACAAATTTACACAACTGGCGGCATGTGACCGGGTTTAACAGAGCATGACGGAATGCTATGATTTCCCGGGATGATGACGCCCACTTGCCTTCCAAAAGCTATCAAAAAAAAAGGAGAATAAATCCAATTCAATTATGATTTATTAGTATGAGTGACTTACTTAATATTGTAAAATCTATAAAAAGCAAATTGAAATTGTGGTATCAGTATTAGCACAACTGATAAAAAACAGTCAAACTAATATTACAGTACCAATAATTGAACACACTTTTACAATTTATGTTAAAAGTTCTAAACAAAATAGTAACTTGTGGTTTTCAAATTATGTAAGATAAATGTATCCATTATTGATGGAAAAAACTTCTTAATTTTGCTTTAATATAGTAAAGATGCTTTGTGATTTTGAAATAAATGATAGACAATCTCCGATACATAAATACAAACATATAAATACACAAAAATATCTCTACAATACCAACAATTGATATACTGTGAAAATTTGTCACATAGTGTACCTTATAAATAGCCATTGAACGCTTCTTCTTTGCAAGAAGCAAATCGTCCACAACTTCATCAATCTTCAGTAGTGGCTTCATACGCTCATAAAAACCATCTGTTGCCAGATACATGGGAAGCCATTTTTGTTCTAAACGTTCACGGACATACTTCTGAGCTTCGATGAGGATCTGGGTAGGGGGACGATCTAAAAGTATCTTGCCCCAACCTCCACCAGCTTGCATAACCTGAACAGATAACAAAGTTTCATGTATTATTTGCTACCATGGTTTTCTATTGTGAACTGAAGTAATATTTCATAATATTAAACAACAATTATATATTCAACGTTACATATTCTGTATTATTTGCTACCATGTTTGTCTATTTTAAAATGAAGCACTCAGGGGCGGATTTATGGGGGGAAGGGGGCTGCCCCTCCCCTTTGGAAAGTTAAAAAAGGAAAAAAACAAAGAAAGGAAAAGAAAAAAAAATTATCGCCCAAAACAATTTAGAGATTATTTTTGGTCGTCTGGAAAACAATAATTTTGCAGGGGAATGCCCGGACCACCTAGGGTGGGTAATCTCAATCGGCCCACCATCAGCCCCTAACTTTTTGGAAATCTCTGGATCCGCCCCGGGTAAAATCTTAATACCTGGTGCTGCTGCTGACGAGTAGCTGGGCTGTTAGGACCAAAGAAATACTTCTTGTTTAGGTAGCGGATTTTAATATCCTTTGCTTTCTTGTCTCGCCGAAGGTTGTCAATATGTGGTGTACGTCGAAACGATTCAATGTCCATCCAACATAGAAGATCCGTAACACCATAATTGTCCTCTGTAATAAAGGCAAATAATTATTATTGTTTATTGAGTTTTACAAACATAGTTTCTATCAATGACAATTTTAAGAATACTGAATGATATAACTAAATGCATAATACAAGTAATAATATTGAAGATGAGGATGATAATGACGATGATGAATATGGAAGATGGTGACGAAGATAATAATAATGATGATAACTGTGTATTTGTCGTTTTGATAGCAGTACTTACGATAATGACGATAGTGGTGATGATGATTATAATACCGTATACAAACATTTTTAACGTGCCAATTTCAAGACAAATGATCAAAGGCACAGAAAGTATACCATGAGTAGAGTGATGATGATGATTACCTAGGCTCCTTCGCAGCTGTGATCATTTAATATTTTCACTTCATGTCCTTATTAATACTTCCAGTATCTCAACTTATCTACCAAAAAATAAATTAAATTTAACAAACCCAGAAAATGCCTGAAGTGTTCAAGTTCGAGTCTGTTGTGGATGAGCTTATTGAAGTCAAAATCTTTAAATTCTTTTGGTACTTTATCCCTGAGTGATTGATAGTAAGCAGCATGTTTCGTGGCATCATCTTCTGGTCCAATATCTGGAGTTGAGATTCTCTACAATGAAAGAATACCTGTCATTAAACACAGTACACTATCAAATTAATAGAAGACCATTCAACACACTAAGAAAGCCAATTAGCCGTGATTTCTGAAAGGGGTTGGTTCTACTTTTGTTTTGAAAAGCCATCTACACTAGTAACAAATATTGTACAAAAGATAGCAAAATTGTCAGCCTTCTTTACATCTATAATTTATCAACACAAAAAGGGCATTTGATAAGAGAAGGTTTCTACCTCTTTAAACATGGTTCTCCTCTGCAGCCGCCTCAAATATCTAGACTCCTTTGACTCAACTCGCCTTTCCTCTTGAGTCATCTCAATCTGAAGAACATGCAGAAAAGAAATTGCTTACAGTGCAGTCTGGGGGCCACTTAGAAAGTGATTAATTTTGCTATTGGCAATCTGGTCCACCTCCTGTGTTTTTTTGAATATTGTATTTTATAGGAAGTGATGAAATAATTGAAATAAAATGAAACAGTCCAAATAAAATTTAGCAAATATGACTATGTTATATATTGTCCTACTGACCTTATCATACAAGCGTTGATCACTGTTTTTCATCTCGGAGAAAGGCTTTGTCAACATCTGAAGGATATGTTCTTCTGCGCCATCAAAGAGCTCTTCAAATGGTGGTGATATTTCACGATGTATTTGCGTTTGGATTGCTTTAGAGCAGCCTATGTTGTAATAGGCACCAGGAACAATATGCTTTCCAAAGATTGCCTGTAGCACAAGTAAAATATGAATACAATAATGAATACTATAATAATGTAATAACAAGGTCAAAAATTATAATAAAAGTAATATTCTTATTTTACTGTCAAGGAACAGTGGCAATTATTAATTTTTTCCAGGTAGGTATTCATGAAATAGACATTATAACTAGTCATTGGTATAATGCTCTGTCTGGATTATCAAATTTTCTTTGACAAAAAGCTGTTGTATGCCCATATATAGTCTTGATGTGCCTATATATGGTCATGATGTGATGTCATCATTACTATATTTAGGCATGCCACATGTTTTTGTCAAATAGAATTTTATAGTCTGATCAGTGCTTAAGATTAACAATGGACCTACAGTTTACTGTTTAACCCTTTATTAATAACTAAAAATCGGTTTTTGTGACAAGTGACTGGTTTGGCTTGCCATTACCACATGTGCAACATGTGCGTTTATTGGAAAACACGCTTGTTAAACACACGGGTATTCCTGTATCCATTCTGATCGGTCAGGTATTAAATTTGATTGACACTCTGGAAGGGTTCATAAGACTTTCAGTCACAGTATTTGTGGCAAAGACGAGTTAAACAGTAAAATGAAAGCTATAAAATGGTAAAAGAATCATTTAAATCCAACATTCCCTTATAAAGTTACAAGAGTTTAAACATACAGCTGTTTAAAGAACAATATATGAGAAATCAGCCTGTAAAGTTTATGACTTTCTCAGGCAGAAACCAACACCAAATTGTCAAAAATTGAAACATTAAACATTGAAAATAGGGAAAACAGCATAGAACGATGTATTGATATATAAAGGTTAGTTTTGTGCAATGAAATAGATTTCCAAATTGTTGACATTCCAGCATGTGTTGGTTATTATCTCTGAAACACGATTTGCGACGAGTGACTGGTTAGCTTGTCTTTACCACATCTGAGTGCTCACAATGGATGGGTGGGCACATTCTCAAGTTATACCATACCTGTGCTTTCCTATTCAAAACATATTCACTGAATGTTTCTGAGAAGAAGAGTGTATGATATTCCTGTATATCATGCCAGCAGTGAAGACAATTAATCAGAACCTGGGATGAGGAAAGAAAAAAATTATTGAATGGATATATGCAAGATAACAAAAACTACTAACTAAATCCTTTGCGAGCCACTGGGGCTCATAGGGCTGGAGCTAATCCTCAGTTTCTGTAGTGTGAAGCGGATGAGAGTTGTACTCCCCCTGGACGGGACACTAGTCCATCGCAGGTTAGTCCCCAACAGATTGCTGGAACCCATTGATACAGCTGGGTGGACTGAAGCAATGTAGCTAAAGCGCATTGCCCAAGGACACAAGCGAATCGGCACAGCGGAGACTCGAAACCCCGACCTTACGATTGAAAGTCTGAACCTCGACCGCTGCGCCAAACTGCCGAAAGATAACAAAACATAACCTCAATTTATGACACAAGATATCAAGTTACGTTGGGTAATATGCACTCTAATCGAAGGAGCACTCAGAAAAAAAAAGGTGATTTGGTGCGTCATCTATTAGACGAGCACATCTGAGAGCAGCAATTTGTTTCTAGTATCTAGTTCTTATTGTTAACTGTACTACTTTGTTTTATTAATATAGATAAATTTTTATTTCTTTTTTATATTTCACTGATACTGTGAAAAAAACAACAATCATCCTTCCATCTAACATCTTTTACCACCTACTTTGTTTATAATCTACACAGGAAACTGCAATACCACCAAATGACAGATTTTTCATTCTTGTGAGTTTAAAGATGGTGTATGATGTGTTAAGTGCTTATTTTTATTTATGTATTTTTTGTACACGAATGGATCTACAGTATAAAGTTTATTTACCTTGTTTCCTAATTGTTCTAAGTATGTCATAAAAAATCCTCCAGCTTTTTTCTCAAACATCAAACCATCTAAAAGGTCCTCCATTCTCCTTCCACCCAGAAAGTCGCTCTCTTCAGACGCCTTGCTGCTAACAGCTGAACTTGGCCTAGAAACTGGCCTAGGGAGACTAAAATAAGAGAAAGTATAAAAATCAGAGACAGGTGATAGTGCTATGTTAGCTGTTACTCCTGCTGGCCTGATATATGTTTGTTAATTAACGCAAATAAATTAAATGTTTGCTGGTTAAAATGGTACAGGTGTATTATTTGGAATGTACTGGTTAAGGTTGGTTGACTTGGTGGTTATGGTTGGTTAACTGGTTTAAATCTTGGTTAATAGAGTTGTTCGACCATGCCTATCACATTGTAATGATGGCTGTTGTATGAAATTGTTGCCCTCTTCACCTTTACCTGAAGTTGTTGAGCTGTATAATTGCTGTGCTGTTGTATGGATGGCTTGGTCTGGTATAGTACATTTTTAGTAAAAAATATTGAATAATTCAAAGGTAAAATATTCTAAAACGATGTAATATTAATAAATCAAACTACATTAAAAATGAGTAAAATATGTATTATAACTACTTGCTTAGCTTTGTGTTTGTGATATCAGTATATCATGTCAAAACTTTATAAATGTATGATGGTATATCATTTCAAAACTTTCCAAAATGTACTATAACTTCAATTACTGCAAAACTACATTTTTTATAAAGTTATACATTCTTTAAAATTTTAGTTTACTCTGTTAGAAACTTTGCATACTTACACACTTGATAAATTTTTTGTCTGATTGGTTCCAGATTCCTCAGATATTGATCTTGTATGCAACCTACTTTCAGACATAGTGCGTTTAATGTGATCTTTCCTAAGTACCGGCTGAGCAGATGCGGGCCGGCCTAATTCGGACTCACTATGCTTCAAAGTTGGTCTTGTACGAGCACTATTCACCCGGCCTGCCTGCGGCTTCTTACTTCCTGGTGGCAAGACCTTCTGTTCTTTGAGGTCTTCTTGCTGGCTTTCTGGGCCACTTTTCTGACGTGATGATGGTTTTGGCATTAGGCCTTGTAAATTGTTTGATAATGATAAATTTGGAAAGGTGCTGTTGTTTATTGTTGCAGTGGAAACCTCTTTTGGTAAAGCTGATTTAAACTAAAAGACCAAAACAGAAAATAACAGTAAGGCATTGAAAATTTGTACGGCTACTAAAAATTCTTGGTTGACTGTTTCTTAGCATCTTACCTGTGGTACTGTATCTTTCTTCATTTTTGGCATACAAGTCTTGGGTCTCAGAGGTAGTAAGGTGACAGCCTTTGGCTCCGGATTTGGTATTGACTTTGGACGGTTTAATTGCTGCCTGTGGTACAGGTAATTCTTTGTTGGATTGCACTTGTAATGTTCCCTCATCAGGAATCTTGGAGCCCTGAAAAATAGAAAGAGTTCCTTAAATTTGAGAAAAGTAAATTCACAAATTTTGATTAGTTTTCATTTTAATTTCCAACTAAATATTTTCCATGATTTACACGCAAATTATTGTTAGCCTATTAGTTGTGAGTGAAATACATTTGTGTTTTGAGTGAAATAAAATTGAGTTTTGAGTGAAATGAAATTATGAATATGAATTAAGTCTTAAATCTCTTCTTACCAGTATAAAAGCAGTGGTTCTGCAACTTTAGGCTGGATTTTCTGAAGCTCTGCAAATGACTGCCACTTGTGGGACTGGGAGAACCCTAGCTTTTGCTGGACCTCTCTAGATAGTTCACACAAACTTCCAGAATTTACATACTTCTCTCGTAATTGACCTATAAACCTCAATTTCCAAAATAATGGTTTCATAAAATGATTTAGATTAAGTATTACAAATAAAACAAAAACTGTTAAAAGATTGGAGTAAAACGGGTGTTGGCTAACTTTTACCCATGCCAACTCGTACCCACTTTGGCAAACCCGTACCCAAATTTAGGTCAACTCGTGCCCAAAATTGGCTAACTCGTACCCACATCTATTCGTATGTTTACTTTGACATACGAGTTGTGGGTACAAGTTTGCATGGGTACAAGTTATCCTGTATTCATAAGATTGTTATGGCATGCGTTGTTATGAAAATATTTTATTAAGGACTTAGTAGTCCTCCTCAGGATTGCACTGTTGCCTAAGCCAATTACGAAAAAGGAGCTAGAATTTGTACAATAAAAATGCCTACTTCATTCAATACTGGCCAGCCTACTATAGGTGGTGCCATTGTTATAATTATTACTTACTGGTTTTGGTTATCCTCTTCTAATATATTATTCGCTCTATCAAGGTCTAACCACAAGCTCCAATATTTCTCGCCCATATTCCCGCATAAGAAGTTCTTAAAGGCGTCAATGCCTTTCTTGTTGCTCAAATCATAGGTCTTGGCACGTGGAAATATAGCATCATCATCCTCTTCCTCATCACTATCAATCAATGAGTCTTCTTCAATAGAGTCTTTCATGGAGGAGGTTGTGGACAAAGTTGATCCCACTTGCAAAGTTTGTTTCGGGACTGTTAACAAGTCTATACTCTCTGCAGACGTTGCCCTAATCACTATGTTGTTAAGTGAGCCTTCCTCAAGATCTACCGACCTTACTGTTTTCAATTTGAGTACATTTTCATCTAAATAATTATTTATTTCCTCCTCACTGCAGCTTGTTACAAGCCTTAGCGCACACTTGATGGCATGAGTAACCGTAACCATAGCAAGTTGATCTACATTATCAACAGTGATTGTTTTTATTTGCGAATTCCCCATCTCGCCGTCATTTTTTCCATCTTCAGAATTGATACTACCCTCATTGTCTGCTTTTTCGCTATCAGCTTTCTCGCAATCAACACCACTTTCACCACCTTCTGAAGAAGCATCATCTGCCCCTTCATTCTCTGTGTTTTGTTTAACAACTTTTAAATGAACAGCACCCACATAGTTCCGTTTTTCACTCTCAAGGACTACACAACACTGATCCCCAATTGGTGGCCTCCACTGGGTTGGTGATGGAGATCGTAATTTAGGAGGATTATCAAATAACTTATTATTACTGATGACATCACCATCAAAGCTAAATGTTTGCGAATGTGGAGGTATTGAAAATGAGTCCTGCCTGCGTGGACTCCAAACACCACTGTCTATCGTACTTACGACGTCCTTGCTACTAAGCACACTTGGTGGCCGCGCACTTGTAGGTCGGGAACTTGATGATTTTTCCTCTATGGCGGATGGACGGATTATTGTACTTGAAGTTGTCTGTGTGTCAGTGACGAGTTTGACATCATTGTACCAATCGTCTGTCTGAGTGGGATGGGTTTCCCCGAGGCAAATAAACATATCACGAAAAGTGAGCGCTTTCTTATCAACATAAACCGGTTTTGTTGTTACAGATGGTTTTTCAATCCCAAAAGGTTTATAAGATGAGTCAATAATAAGGTTTAGTGGTTTTTCCTCTTTAGCTGCAATCTGTAACAAAATAAAACAATTTATTATATTACTGTTCTGTATATTTTAGGTTCGTTGATCATAAAACATTGAGAAGCATATGATGCAGTGGTAATCTTCTGGCTTGCAACCACAATGTAAATTAGGCTCTGTCCAGATGATCAGATTTTCTTTGACAAAAAACTGCTGTATGCCCATATATAGTCATGATGTGCCTATATATGGTCACGATGTGATGTCATCATGACCATATTTAGGCATGTGACATGTTTTTGTCCAATAAAATTTGATAGTCTGGACAGGGCTTTAGAGTTGAATACTGGTCACATTTCCAGTGTCCTTAACTTTATTTACAATTTTCTCTCTCCACCCAGAAATATAAGTAAATACAATATAAAATGCCAGAGATCCCAAGTCTCCCGAAAATCTTGGGTTTCTCCCGATTTTTATTAATAATCTCCCGATTTTTTTTAAATATCCCGAAAATTTCACGAAAAATGTGATTTCCACGATGTCATAGAGAAATGAAACAAAATTTCTTATCTTAAGCCAATATACTATGGCGCTCACTCAGCCTTAAAATGTCGTAAACAAGACCAGGGAGTTGTTATTTAAGTTGTTTATCAAAATAACAACTCCATGGCAAGGCAGGCCTAGTGGTAGAATCGCCTTGTTTATCCTCCATGTTACGATCTTTTTCATCCGCGCCGACCTCAATCAATGAGATGGCTGTCAGTTGAGTAAATAAATTTCAACAAATTAACGAAATTAGAAATCACATGGGAATGGATGCCCCAAGTTTTTTCGCCGCGAAGATTTGGAACTTTGTAGAATCGGTGCATAAAAAATACTTTTTCTTTCAAGTAAGCTTCAGTTCTTTCATAACAATACTAAAAAAATCATAGTAGGTTTTGGTACTAAGTAGTCTTCCGAAAAATGAAATTTATTTTAATATCAATCCCGAAATACATGGTAGGCCTAGGCTCTATCTGCACTGCAGGGTATGTGTGTTGTGTTGAGTGGGGGTCTGTGTGTAGTGGTGGTCGTGACTCTGCGGCCTTAGGCCTAGTTACGCATGTAAAGATGGAGCCTAGCGAGGCAGGATTTAATGTTTTTTCATGGCATTATGTACCATTTATTATAGGCTAGACATATATAAATGCTGACTTAAAACATGTAGTATGATTTACTAACTAAATTAAAATATATATATATTTTTTCATTTTTCAGCAAACGTGTGGATCTTGCAAGTTGCAGTTACCTTGCTAGAATTCTATGTTCTTTGAAGAGATATAGTAAATCAGCCATAGCCGCTAATATGCTAATGAACCAAGCAAAGCCTTGTTGACTGCTGCCAAGAATGCTTTACTAGCAAAATAAATAATAATATTTATAAATTTATATTTTAGGCCAACTGCAATGTGTAAACAAATATAAAATTGTTAAATAAAAGTAAACAAATTGATGAAAATTGTTTGTTTTCTTCATTTTGTGTAATACTTTCATGTTGCACAGCGTCACAGTGCGTCACTACAGGAGGCGATCGCTTCACGAAAAAAATCTCACTATTTTTTGGTTTTCAAACTTGGGATCTCTGAAATGCACATATTTCAGAGTATATCAGTAATAACTTAATGATGCAATATCCTACTAATTCTCAGTCAGTATACATCCAAATTGAAGTAATGGCCTCCTACTGTATACAAACAACATTTCTGGAATGGCATCCTCTCTTTTCACTAAACTTTATATAGAATTTCTCATTTCTTAACAACTGAAACCTTGATGTGTTGTAAAGATATATTCTAATCAATTCACTTTTAATTTGCTGCAAAAAGCCAGCAAGTGCTATTGTGTACATATAACGATGGAGATGTAAAACTAAATTATACAATCACACAATGAAATGCACAGGACAACATGTTGTAATAAATTATTTAAGCCTCAATCAATAAAATAAAAAAATACAACCATCTTGTAAGTCTGATTATGACTCAACAAACCATACAGTCTCTTTCTATAAGTGACTGTGGATTGCAATATTGAAAATATTATAACACATTGCTACAAGAAATTTTGAAATGTGAGATCACAGATAATTTAGTAGTCTCTGTAAACACAAAGAACTTTGCCGTACACAGGGGACAATTGTATGACAGTTGTGACTGATGTTAAGTTTAGCGAAAATCAGTTATGCTGCTCTCTTATGTTTTAAACATTTTAAATGTTAAATGTACTTATTTTATTACTATCATTTCAATAATTGTGAACACGTAAATATTCAATGGCAACACCAATTGGAAGATTATGCAGACATAGAATACTTTACCTCTGCTTGAGATATGAGTTTCGCAAGTCGGTACTCGAGGTAAAGATCTGATTGCAAAAATGCAGGCACTCTTTCTTCCTTAATCCATTGGATGCCTTGTTCTTTGTTCAGACACTACAAACAGTAAAGTGGTATTTATTAAAAGTATTCAGTATTTTGATATCTAATCATATCATTTATATATTTTTGCAAACAATAAACTAAGTAAAAGGAAGCCTTAACTGTCTGGAGACTCTCCTCATACCACTGTAACTGAACAGAATATGACCCTGGTTCTTAATAGGCGGCCCGCGGGCCAAATTTGGCCTGCAGAGTAATTCAACTTGACCCATGAGATAAGACAAAATAAAAGAAATATATATAAAACAAATTAATGATATATATATACTGTCTCTTATACACATCTAGATGTGTATAAGAGACAGACTTAGAACACATTATTGGGGAGATATGCCTAACATAAACGTGAAAACAAATTGGACCAATAAAGTATTAATCTAACCCTACAGACAAGCTAAACCTACTCCTAATATTCAACATTATCATTTGATGAATACACTTTCAATGAAGTAAAAACCAAAATGCAAACCCTGGGTCATGTGCACTAACAACTTTACAGGAACACGCTTGGAGATGTTTAAAAAAAAAATATGAGCAAGCTATAAAAGGCCATAAATTGAATATAGGCCTACATAAACCAACTTATGTTCCGCTAAGTTCTGTTTCTCTGGCATGTTCTGTTCACTGTGTTTCATCAATAGTGTTTGAACTTACTTGTACATTGTTAATAAAAACTTGTTATAGGCCTACCAAGAACAGTGCCCATAAAAATACACTGTGTACAATGAGGAAAATAATTACCAAATGTTACAGGTAAAATTAAGTTCATATTACTTGTATTAAAAAAAAAATGTGTCTAGACTCTTAACTTAAGCTTTTTTTATTGGGATCAATCATATTGGTAAAGGGCCCTCCAAAACTGACTAACATCTCTTAACTGATGACGCGTCCCATAGAAATTAATCACCCAGGTAATTTTAACAATTGTTTCCAACTCAGCGGAAATTACCTTTGGCCGTGAGATCAACTCTAAAAAATGTTTGGGCCTTTCAAACAAATTAATTAAGAACCAGGGGAATATAATAATATACTGCTTTCAATTATATCTGAAAACACAAATTTTATGTTTTGAGATATAAGAAAACAAAACTGAATCGAATACAGGTTTCTATGTACTATATGAAGATTATTTGTTTTTAAGTATCGAGCAACTGTATATTTCAACTTTAATTATATTATTAAAATTAAGTTACATTGTATCTCTTTCTCAACCTCCTTTATTATCATTCTGCACAATTATCTCTGCATCTTCAAAAATTCTCCTATCACTCTTAAGATTGCGAATCTAATCTTGAAGTCAATCTATAACTAAGACCACATTCACTATGGAAAAGGGCAGCTTTTGCTAAACTGTAAAGATGGGAAAAATTAAGATTTTGCAGGCATTGACTTGGCATGTCTAAACACTATTCAAAGGTCATTTTAGCTGGCTCAAGGACCCCATTCCATAATTGTTATTTAATGTAAAAATCTTTATACTATACCTGAACTTGGAATGTTGTTTTTATATCTGGTTCCTCATCACCATCACTATCACCAGCATACTTGACTTTAGGTGGGTTCTTTTCACTTATTACTTGCTTAGTAACTTGGTACATCTGATTTGGTGACTGCTTAGATCTTACTGCTGCTTGCATCTGACTCTTAAGCTCTTGCTTGGCATCGGTAACCACCTCAAAACCGCCGCGATCTTTGTTGAACACTAACGGTTCTGGAAAAGTCTACAGTAAGAAAGGTGAATATTAAATTATTATATTTGTGTAGTGTGCAATATATTGACAGTTTCAATCAATGAGAAAACAGTAACAACAATGGCAAAATTAATGTAATATTTAAATTTAATTTAATTAATTCAATTTCATTAAAAAAATTTTTTATCGAAGTGAGAGCTAATTTTATCTCATAGTAGAAAAGTTATGATCTGGGAATCTAGAATTTGAAAAAGGTTCAATGAAAAACAACCTTATTTTTTATTTTATGAACTTTACTGTTGATTATATTAGGCCTATTACTGAAATTATGTTTCCTACACCTTTATGGCTCCCTAATAGACAAGGTTTTCAAAGTGGGTTTTCAATACCAAGAAATTTAAAAACTATTTTGAAGAATTGCTGAAGTATTAAAATAAAGAAAAAATACCAATTGTAGTACATACCGGCAACCTTAGAAATGCATTGAAATATTCAATAAATAAATTATCTGTTGCCAAGAATTCCTCCTGTAAAAAAAAAATCAAAGATTTCAAACATTTATCATACATTTAAAACATTTTCTACAAAAAAAAAAAAAATGCAATATAAACACATCCATTTTTCAGCACAGTAAACTTTCATATAGAACTAAAATGCACTCCAGGATCTTGTTGGATTTTCACATAATCAAAAACCACTCCACACTCTATGCATCAAAATAATAATAACAATAATAAAATAAAATCATGCTTCTCCAAAAGTTATCAAAGCACTGAAAATGTGGTTTGTACAGAACATTGGGGTCCAACTCCCTTTGATGAATGGATAACCCACAACATAATAGATAAGTAAATAAATCAAGATAAGGAAACTGTCACACACTAGTGATACAAAAAAAAAAACTATTTAATAAATAACTCAAGTCACATTCTATTGATCTGGTCTTAGCGGTATGTACAACATCCATAATTCATACATGTAGAATGTGTAGTAAAATATAAGAATGGGATTTACTGATTAAAAATTATCAACAATATAACACATTCACAAAGATCAACAATAAAAAAATCAATGTTTTAGTTTGCACACACTTGCAATTAGGTAATTAGCCTTCTGTACCAGGAGAGTACAATAGCACATTATGTGGAGATTAAACCCACCTTTATTATACAGTATTGTGTAAACTGCAATGGTGGCATACTGGGGGTCACTCAAATTATTTAAGAATACCTATGGACTTTAACTAAGTAATTAAGAGATTACAAAATCAACAAGTAAGTGGTGAGCTCTCCCACTGCTACATTATCCAGCACAATAAAGATTAACCATAGGTTTATTTGCACAGCTGTATTAAGGTCCGAATAGTCTGAAGTCTAAAAATATTTATTTCACACAAACCTAAACATACATACAAACATAAATTTAATATTAACATTATGAGTGTGAAAAAGGACACCACAAACACGCTAGGCATTCATACTGTGCCAGGAGTGGTCACAATGTGTTGGGAGGGGGGAGGAAGCCCTGGGACTGTGGAGAGATGTTTCCCCACCTGTTGGGGTGAAAAAAAAACCACAAATTGTTGGGGAGAAAAAATAATTATGTATTTTCTACAGTAGATTCTAAAATCGATAAAAGGCTTTGAAACTCCTAAATTGTCCACCTTTAGCTGGCCTACCTGCTGGAGCTACCTCTGCTTGTATTCAAATTCATTGATGATTTCCAGCACACAAATTTGCTTTGAACCAAGAATACAGACCTGTTCTAATTTCACATACAGTACTCAATCTAATAAAGGTTTTGTTTCAAAATTCTTAATACTATTGGAAAAAGAATTTGGCTACGTTAAGTACCAACATCCTAACATGAAATACTTTATTGAAATTCATTACAAAAAATCGTTAACTTAAGTTCCAAATTAATAGGTGATCAATTACGTAGCTTATCTTGTTTTTGTGACAAGCAAATTTTAGAAAAAAATAAAAGAATTTTACAAAATGTAACTCACGCTATGTTCAGTGAGTTCGAGCTTTTGCCTCATGGTCGCCGTTTTCGATGTCCTGCATGCAGAACTAACCGGAAGAGAAATTTATTCGTGCCCGTTGCCATTTGACTTTTAAACAATAACAAACTAAATTTGTAAGTGATTGTATTGTATTAAGATACAATGCATTTTACGCTTGTAATCCAAATTCCTTTGAATTTTATTGTATTTTATGATGTAATGCTCTTTTTTTTTTTTTTTTAAATCTTTTAAAATCTTTTTAGCTTGTAATGCAGACCCTTTTATTGAATTGCCCTACGTGGGATGAATAAAGATATATTGTATTGTATTGTATTGTATTGTATTGTATCGTAATTTTATCAACATAAGATAAAAGAAGTTGAATATCCAAGATTAGAAAAGTAGGCCTACAATAAAATCACATACAAATGCAATATTTGATGCAGTTTTAAGATGCATTAAACTGTACTGTAGGACCCCAGCAGATATTTAGATTTCAAACTCAACCAACATTACCGTAATCTGGATCTATTTAAATAAAGGGCTAACACCCTTTCTTTATTGTTGTTAAGCAACCATAACAAAATGATTTGCACATGTACACACTTAGTCTCCATGGAGTTTAGAAGTACCCTGAAAAAATTTTGTATGGCAGTATGTTTAAGGCAACCTGCTAAATCAGGATCATCTATTGCCTTTTGTCCACCTTTATAATTCAAACAATGTACTAGCACAGTATAGGCCTATCTGAAGTAAATAATTTCAATTTGGCTAATTCCTAATTTATTGCAATTGTAAAACAGAATGCGCAGGTTAAGTTTTTCACTATCCAATCACAGGCGTTACATTTTGACCATGTCAGAGTTTACCCTTGGTCTTGGTTAAATAATCCATCGCAAACAAGGCTTTGGTCACATGATGTACACCCTGAGGTTCAAAGGTCAATTAATTTTACTAATTCACAAAATTAATCAACCTTTAGCATTACAAATTATCACTTTTGATTACATACTGCAGCATGGGGAATTTATTATCTTCTAAATTCAGAATACAGTACTAACATAATATACATTAAAAAAACTGCTATAAAATCAGCATAATTAATGCTATGCTGCACTCTGGAAAAGGAGTCATAGTAAAGAATAATGTAGACACAGACATGCTGCCATGTCAGGGCATTAATCAAAAAATTACACTATTCAGATACATTAATGTGCAATTATTACATTAGCAACTATATTGATTCAAATGAAAATGTTGCAGTTGTCATGTAGCACTATCCTCTGTGACAGTAACAATGAATAGTTGCTATGCAACGGTTAATTGAACTGGAATTACTAATTAACAACTGGAACTAATTCCAATTACGGTCATTGTATAGTGACTAATTATTCAATCATAATGTAATGAAAATCCAATTTTATTAGCCACTGAAGTGGTCGTACGGCAATTTTGTCTAGCTCTATGTCAACAATGGGACTGTTTAAATATTAAGCTAAGAAGTGGTGTCTGACTTACGATTTGAAGTGAAGTCTAAGAAAATAATTCAAAATAAATTATGATGTCCAAATAATAGACAAAGTTACTTGGACAGTGTATGACAGCATTCCTTTAACCTAAACTTTCTACAGTATTACTGTAAGCATAATCAAAATAATACATCAATTTTATTATCGAAGTTTCACGTTTAACTAAACTTATGTTTTTGAAATTGTTAGCATTACAAATATAAATTGTTTTATTTATTTGTTGTTTTTTTCCCAATTGTTTCTGATGTACTGAATACTGAAACATAAGTTTATTTTATTATACAATTTGTTAACATGGTATTAGAACAATCATTGCTTTTGTACCATTTAATTTTGAAAATATCATTATCAATCCAACTTTCCTTGCAGTGACTGCAATACTGCAAAATAAACCTAATATAATCACGGAGGTATAAAAATAACCATGAATACAGTTCTTACATTTTAAAAACAAGAAATTTGAAACTTCTTGCCATGCATTTTCTCATATTAGATACATAATTCATAGAATCTGATACAGTATGTTACAAAAGAAATTGCTGATATGTGATTGGATTATACAGGTGAGGTTACAACCATACCAAGTATATCACACTGGATTCTCAGTTTACAGTAATATAATCAGAAGACTACCCAAGTATATCCACCAACAATAAAACAATTAAGGAGAAGGCTGAGAAAAGGCAGCCTCGGATAACAACGGTGTTGATAAACATCTTTGTCATTCCCATCACCCTCAGTAGCAACAGTGTTGATAAAGTCTTTGTTACAGTACTTTAATCACACAATGTGGACTAGGTCACTTTACAGAAGGTAGAAAGTGATACTGTTGATGTTGGGACAAGGAAGTTATGGGTTTTTATACCTTGGTTATGGTATCACAGAAGTGACTTATTAAATTCCAAACATATTTAATTGGGTGGCCTTTGGAGATTAAGAAATTACTGGCTCCATGGGTAAATAACAAATCCTTCCTTTTTACCTATAAACAATGGCAGTTTCAATACAGTGAGTTTACTATAAGGTAGAATTCATTACTACAGTGTTACTAGGCCTGCTTTATACAAACCAACATTGTTATTATCATTATCATAATCACTATCATCATCATTTTTATTATCACTATCAGATCATCATTACCATCACCCGTTGTCAATAACATTATTAGTATGACCATTACTGTACTGTACATACCGGTTTGGCCGGGAGACTCAAGTTTTGGTGACCTATGTGTACCTCCAATCATTTTTCTAACGTTTTCTCACATGCTCTCCCAGTTTACAAAGAAAATTGCATTGCAATAGGCGTACTAATTATATTAACTGTATTGTCTTTTTTGCAATAAAATACTACAAAAAAAAACCTCAATATTTAGGTTATCTTTCAATATTTTGCTCAGCAACAGCAGCCTCTCTGAGTAATACGAGAGATGTGGATATGAGTGCTGCAAAGTCACGCTGGCCTTGTATACACAAGAATCAAGAAATTTACCGTTATAATACATTAAATAGCTAAGGCTTCCCAGGGGTACATCCCCAGGACCCCCATGAAATGGGGATACCCTCTCCCGACCTCGGTAGCACCAAAATCTCCCGTTTTTTTAATGTCAAAATGTTGGCATGGTGTATGCATTATCATGATTATTAATATCATTAATATTATTATATTATCATCATAATGTCTAAATAACGTATGATTGAAACACATTGGTCTTTCAGGGGCCGTTTAACATTTCCACACAAGTGTACAAACAATATGCTAGGTGGGAGGGGGTAGAACCCTTAATTAGAGTTACAACCTAAATAAAAAACAAACATATTGGAATGTTTTTTTTTAATTTGATTTACAATTTAATTTTATTAATTCAATAAGCTAGAACAACCCCATATCAAAAATAACTATTTTAGTTTCTGGTTGCTTGGCAGGCATCAGACACATTAATGAACTTTGTCATTAATAATACAAAATGTGTCCATCCTGACAAAACAATAAGGCTGTTCATTAATTGTATTGCATTTCCAAAGTCTACATTCAAACAACTACTTATTCAGGCTCTAACCTTCATAATCTAAATTGCTATCATGTACTGTATTCAAAACTGTATCATGACGAACCTGGTCTTGCTATCAATGTTTATGAGAGCAGCATGCAGCATGCTTGCGACAGAAAAGATTATTGATGATGATGGCAATACAATATAATATGATGTATTATGGTAATATGATGATGATTTTGAAATTGACAATTGTGAAGTTACTGTATTGTATATAATGAAAATAAAATTTAATAGATGGATATTGTAATTTTTTGTCTTTGAAAATGATGATGATAATGATCATCATACCATTTATAAAATGGTAATTTTTAAGGTTATTATGATCATGCAAATTGTAATTAAAAAAGAGATGATTCTGATAATGATGATTAATATCAAGATATTTGTTTTCCTTTAATAATTATTGACCGACCCTAACAAAACCAGTGTTTTTCGTCAAAATCGAAAGTCTTTAAACTGGCTAAAATTTTCATGTATTGACCATTTTAATGCATGTTTGACTTAAAATATGAATTATTATATCATCACTATTTGTTTTGCTTTTAACAATTTTTGCATCAATCATTTGCTTTTGACCTCTAGATTACGAAGATCTAATAATGTCATTTTTTATATTTTTTGAGACAAGAACCTGTCTTTGCAAGTCGAGGTCAAATTTTTATTTATATTTCCTAGCAAATTCAAATATTTTAGCCGTTTATTAAGGCCTTTTTATACCTTGTTTCACAAACTTATTTTTTTAAAGATCATCAGAGGAGAACGGGAAAAAAATTAAAGTAAAATTTTTGTTTTTATTTAGCAAAGAGTTTTGCCACACGCCCAGATGGAGGAGAAATTAAACATTTTACTTTATTGCCGAAATGTAAACAGTGTAGTAATGAGACGGTTATATGCTTTAAATTTATATTATTAAGAAGAAAAATACATCTTATTTTGGAGATTTCAAGGAAGCGGCGGGCTGGCGTAATAAAAATAAAGAAAAACTTTTATTTTTTTTCAGGAATTTCCATTTTTTAGCGGCAGCAGGTGCGCTAATTGGCCAAAAATAAAATTTTATTTTTATTCGAAATCATCATTATTGGCAGGTTCACTAAACAAGGAAAAACAAATATCTCGCCTAAGTAAAGAAATATAACTTCATGCTATTGATTTGTGAGATAAAAATCAATATTGTATTGAAAGGATACCAAATACCATAAATGTCTATGACGGTTTTGTTTACACCACACTTAAGTAATTTAAATAAAATCAATGATAAATAATGTATTATAATATTGATTACTACAAAGTAATTAAGTAACAATAAACTAGTCACTGAGCATGCCATTATCCACACTAACAAAGCTTTAATTTATGTACAGTAGTTTCCAAAATATCGATTGGCATATACTATCTCGTCAAAATAAAAAGCCTTATTGACTTTTTAGATGGTACAATATTTACATCTTGGCATTACATCACTGTACAAGTAGTCTAGTCCTGTTTGCTTAAGCATGGTATACGTAGAATCACTACATGCTTATGCCGACAGGTGTTAGTGGTTCTCGGTAAAAATTTAATGACAACCTAGAAACCATTGATAGAAGGGGTCCCCGCTGGAAAAAGCTACTGTATGTATGTGTAGTGCTGTATTACTTGCAGGGTGATGTCATTGTATAAGGATAATCAAAAGTATGTGATGACCATGACTGACCAACACAGAATCTAAAAAAAATCCCACAAGCTTTAAGCTGCCACCAACAATCAGCAGATGGTGTGGAAGCAGTTTGGCGCAGCAGGAAAGGTTTGTTGTTCCAACCTCGAGGTCGGAGTTTCAATCCCACGCTGTGCATTTCACTTGTGTCCTCGAGCAAGACACTTTATCTGCATTGCTTCTCTCCATCCAGGAGTATAAATGGGTACTTAGTGGGGTTGCCTACACCTGCGCTGATTACCAGCAGCAACTTTTATCATGTGGACCCAATGACCAGGGAAAAGCACTGTGGTTTATAACAGAAGGAAGAGGTACATCATAAATGCCCGTACCCGTACCAGTAGGGAGCTTTTGATTTGTGCGACGACGCGACGCTAGAACGAAATCACTCATGCGTGACCGTCCTACCTGGTGTCCTACATTCTCTACATACATAGATTTGGCCAAATTGCATTCCAGAATCTACTCGACGAGGTGACCTTAATGTTCTTGCATGCGCAAATGACTTTTCCTGACGTCATTACGTTCTACCGTCGTCGTGCATTTGAAAGCTCCCTAATGTCACATTGTGTAGCACTGACAGGGAGTGGAGTTTGATTTGTCATACGATGCTATAAGTGCCCAGCTTAAAAAATCAATTGCTTTTTTGTTTTAAGTGTAAGGGGTACACAGTGGCAGAAATTATTTTCTTCTATGTGCTCCTTGGTCACTTCTTTTGTATTAAGTTATTAAAAGATTACCAAATGAATGTTCATTGAATTGAATGCATGATAAATGTACTTAATAACTAGTGAAATATTATAAAAATAAACCCAAGTGTTATTATTAAAAAAAAATAACAAAAGGTGATGTCCACAGAGCTTGGTATGGATATGAGGACATTAGGGTTATATTGAATCAGAGAATGATGAACTATACTTACAAGGTCTTCTACTGTCACTTTTGGTGGAGCTAGAAAAAGAAAAGAAATTTAATTATTGAACACTGGCTAGTACTGTACAGACTACAGTACCATATCTCAAGGAGTACTCCTAAAGGAAGGATGGAGAATTCCGATTTGTGGAGCCAATGTCTGTATTGATTTAAAAGGATGCAGCATATAAAAATGAATAACAAAAATGTGAACTAACGAAAGTATAGCACATTAACTTAAAATGTGTATGCATCATCGATAAAAGCTACCAGATGTAAAGAATAAGAGATAACTAACCCTCAAACTTCACTATACTCATAAATAGCCAAGTACCCAGTACCAGCCCGGCGACACAATTACATTAAACTAAAACCTTGTCTATACTTCATAAATGTCTTAATTTTGTTTTTTAAGATCGTTGAGATCCATTCAAAGTGTATAATAACTGAACCCAACAATGAAAAAGAAAAATTTAAGTATTGTTTCAATTCAATTGTTTTGCACAGGATCAAAATTTATTTATTTTATTAAATTAATAAACTTCTCACATGCATAATGAAGGAGACGAGCCAACAATTGACGAACACCCCTACAATGGCTCGCTCCCTACAATATAAAAATATGCATTTTTCGTTTTGACTACACGGCCAGCCTACTACGAACTAATGGACCGTGACGGCAACGCCAAGACACTGTTCGTGTACTACACTAAGAGCTGTTTTCGTTTTTTTCGACTACGGCGATGCAGCACACGTACGTAGGCCTACGGAGGGGAGTTAGTTGACCATGGTTTTATTAAAAGGGAACAATGTTTCCTTGTTTTATATTTGTAAAAGGAAATGTGAAAAAAAAAACTTTAGTCAAATACTGTATGCAAAATAAAAAGTTTCCAGAAAACACTGAGTGATGTTTCGCTGTTGGCTAGGATCTAGGCCTACGCTAGGCCTAGCCAAGGTGTCAAAAGAGTCGGGAACCGGGAGAAGAGGGGTGTCAGGCCTGCTCAGGCAATTTACCAAATGCAACGATGATGTACAAATAAATGTACATAACAATTTTAAACAGAGGTATTTATATAGCAAGGCTTGATCGACGATATCATGGGCGCAGATGCCCTAGCTAGCGGTACAAGATAATGTGTTTTCTCCTACCCGAAATCCACCCTGACAAGGCTAGGCTAGCTTAAGTCTAAAAGGCCCCTTTTTTCACTATCTCCTGATTTACCTAATTTTATGTTGTGACTATTCATTAATTATTTATTATATGTGTATAAATAGGCCTTCTTAAAACATTTAATTACTCACTTGTTTTAATAATTAATTCATTATTGAACGAACAATGCTCGATTGTGGATGCGATGAAAATTGCAGCCCCCAACAAAAAAATTACCAGCAGTTTGCCAAAGAATCCGGTTATCTGATTGGTCAATATTAGGGTAGTCGCCACTACGCCAAATTCAGAAGCTATCACAACGCCGATTTAGTCAGTAAGGTTTGTGAGCATGCGCAGATGACTTTTACGCTCTATTAGTTTGTAGTAGACTGGCCGCGTAGTCAAAACGAAAAATGCCTAATAGAAATGACAGTTCAAACACTGAAACAATAAAATTTGAAAAAAAAAATTAAAAACATTAGGAAGTATGCTAAAAGAAAAACAACCACGATGACAATAAATAAATAAGAAAAATCGTAAAAAAGAGTATAGGAAACAAGAATTGCCACAGAGAATATAAAAATCATTTAAATTGAAATTGCCACTGTAAATTTTAAAATAGAAATGTAGAATAAATAATAAAAACGATAAAAATAT